GCACCATGATGCCAGCCAGCTCCTTTCCCCCCTCCCGGGTTGGAGTCTGTTCGATGACATTGAAATCCTCTAGGTACTTAGTGTACATACATGGATGGAGTTGCTGAAGCTGGCGGGATTGAGTGAGCCCCAAAACAAACCACAGCACAGGATAAGCTGGTATCACATCCGCTGGCTCGACTTAGCAATACCTGATTTCCACTGACCTTGCACACTCAGTTGATCAGTTGATAGTTCGGGCCGGCCAGGACCAAAACGATCCAGATGTGGAATATGTTCTTTCGCTTGGGGGGGGGGGAGGCTGGCATCTTCAGAAATGTAGCGTTGGTTGGTTTGATGGGTTGAGGGACTAAGAAGACATGGCAGGAAACGAGTGGGACCCAGAATTGGAAAGAGAGAAAATGAAATAGAGGAATCTAAGGTACAAAGAACGGAAACTGGCACAAGTTCCTACATGCATACAAATATCAACCAGCCCAACCTGGTATAATAGACCATGCTGCCATGTGCTTCTGTGTCCGTCGTCAAACTCCTTTCATGCCTGCGTTGCCGTCATAACCTGTAATATCAACCGCGAAAGATAAAAAAGACCCCCAATTCCCACCCAAGTAAGGACATATAATTCGCCAGAAGAGCCGACCTAGAGTTGAAATATTACTTCGCAAGCTCATGCGATGCATCCAAAATTCATCACGACTTCTTGAGTCGTGAACCTGAAAGACATATGTGGAGAACCAAACTCCATGACCCAAGCGAGAGTATAATATAGAGAGGGAAGGAAATGGAGGTTAGAGATATAGCCTTTTATATAGCGGTGAGGAAACGGGCCGCAAGTGTGTCACACAGTCAATGCGGATGGTGTATTTCAGACAATAAATGCTCCGATTCTGGAATCTAAGGACCATGACTGCTTCAGCGTCGACAATTGTCTGGAAAGCCATTGTCTTGTGGCGATGGACTTCCCACGCCGCGGCTTGAAGCTGCCGACGCCGCAACGGCTCACCGGAAAACTTTCCCATTTACAGCGACGGTTTCAAAGCTGATTCGCCTTGCGTATTTGGAAGATCCTCCAGCTTCGAGCCATGGCGTGAGATTCTTACATTGGCTGACATCGAAGGACTCTAATTTATCGCAACCCTCTGCCACAGCCTCAACGCCAGCACCGGTGACTCGGACACAGCCACGAACTGACAGACGCTTGAGATGCAGGAGATGGAGTCCGATACTGCGCAGCGAAGGGTCGGAAATAGCAGAGCCGCAAAATGACATGTTGAGGTAGGTCAGGTTGGAGCATTGTAGGGCGAGTACTTCTGTCGCTGTATCTGACAGGGCACAGCAGAAAGACTTTGCTGGTCAGTAAGCATCTCATGCGAGGAGGGAAGGAATGCTCTTGTGCTTACCAAATCCAGTTCCTGAAGTTGTTTGGCGGCATTCGTCAGATAGACAATAGCATTGTCGGTCAAATATGTACAGTCTGCTAGACATAGCCTCCTCAGATTGGTAAATTGCGCGTTTCCCCAGTACTGAAACCCTTGATCGGTGATTGTCGTGCAGCGGGTGAGGTCCATTTCCTCGATCCTGGACGCAGCATGCGACGCAATATGATGCATCGAGCGATCGGTAACATGTTTGCAGTAGGATAAGGTCAACTTCTTGAGCTCGGGGCAGCCATACACAGTCCCGGCTGCAGTTTGCATGGTGGGTTTTAAGGATGCTTTGCCGGACTTCGCAGACTCCTCGCTGGGCTTATGTTGACCGGGTACAACCCAGCCTACAATCCGCGCCAATAGTGTGTCGCCCACCTTTCGACAGTTGCTAAGATCAACCTCTTGCAAGCCTTTTGCTTTACTGGCCATGTCAAGGATGGCCGACCCCGTTACGTCCCACACACTCTTCATCTTCCAGGCAGTAACGTTGGAACCACATACAGCAACCAGCTTGCTGAACCCCTCATCCGTGATATGGAAGCAATTGCTAATGTTGACGTAGCGAGGTCTGCTGCCGACAAACGGGCAAATGATTTTCGCCAGGACGTCATCCGTGATGCACCGATTATACACGCTCAAGTCGAGATTATGGAACAGTTCAGCGGATGTGCTCAGGAGCTCAGACCAGTGCATCGAGACAGCTCGGAGGCGTAGAAGGTCATGAAGCTCCATATACCGGAAGATCTTTGTGAGGATGTTATCCGGAAGCACACCATGGTTATCCTGGCGGGGTACACGGGTGCTTTCCTGGGACGTGGAAAGTCTAGAGGATCCAGGTAACGTGAGAAAGGATGAACTCGTGGACCGTGGCTCAGATGATGGAGTTGATGGCCGCTGTTGCTCTCCGGAGGCTTCCTCCGGGGTCATCGGGGCAACAGACCCGCGTCGACTTCGAAGGCGAACTTTATCCAAGCCGATGTTAAGAAAAGGGTCTGGATCTGATGGGCGTAAGAGAGCCTGCTCATCTACACCATTGGGTCTTGGCGTGCTATCCAACTCTGTCTCTGTCAGTGTCAGAAGCGGCATGGACTGCCTCCGAGAAGCCCTTAATTTGAAGTTATCATCGACCTCCATATGATTGCCGTAAGGCTCAGCGCCCGCATCATCTGACATCACAACATCGCCATCAGAGGCTGACTGAAGCCGCTCTTTAGCGGTTTGCTCGACTTGCTGACGGACCTTCTGGGGACACCTCTCCCAGAACTCGGCCAACACCTCACCGCTGATCATCAAGCATTCTACCGCACTGATAGACCGCACAGTAGCGGTTCTTCGAGGTGCTAGCGACAGGCTTACGACCTCTCCAAAATACTGGCCTTGTTTCAGCCGTGCTTTGACCTCGAAGCCCGGGTGTTCGATAGTCTTCGGTAGGGACTGCGTTTGCTGTGCTTCTGCCCTCTCCGATAGGACCTCCACTTCGCCGCGAACAATGAAGTATATCTCACGTCCCTGAGAATCCTGTTTGATGATGTCGGTGAAAGGAGGGTAGGATCGGGGTTGCGCATTGAGCCCCAGGAAGTGGAGGATATCCGGCGGCAAGCCGGCAAACAGCGGTAGTTCCTTGAGAAGAAGACGGACATTGACCAGTCCATTCGCCAGCGCACTGGATGATCCGTCAGCCAATCCAGGGCTGGGGGATTTCCGCTTCTTGTTGACGGACGCCAATGACCTGCCATCCTGCTCGCTGAGACTGAGGTCTCCAGAAAACGTGTCTCTCACTCTTTTCGAGCCTCTTCTGGCCGGACTTCCGGGCTCGACCACTGGCACAGATGTTTCCTTCTTCTTTTTCTCCAAGATCATCAATCTCTCCTGTGCTTCATCCCTAATGGCCCGCTCTACATCAGGAAAGCGGGGGAGAATTTGTCGGAAATCCTCCTTGGTCAGCACGACCAGCAAGCACCTGGTGCGGGCGACAATGGTCGCCGTCCGTGGGCGATCCATCAACACGCCAATCTCACCAAAGAATGCACCTGCTTCGAGGTCGGCATACACACTCTCGCCATCGCGGGAAGTCACCGAGACCGCACCGCGGACCAACCAGTAGATAGCCTTGGCTTCGTCGCCTTCCGTCAGGATGTAGTCATTGGCTTGCTGGAGCTGGGGGCGGAGATGCTGGCCGACATCGATCAGGAACGATTCTGGGGTGGATTGAAAGAGAGGAAAGGAGCGCAATCGGTCGATGAGGTCTAGCGGCAAAGCTCGGATGTTCGACGAGGTCAATGGCGACGGACGTACAGGACGATTGGGGTTTATCACCGAGTCGAACGAATGTAGCAGGGATGCGGTTTCGGAGATAGGAGTGACGGCTTTAGTCGAACCTCCGCTGGCCCTTCCATGGCGGCGCATTGTGATACGGTTGAGGGGGAGGTTCCAGGAAGCTTGGGAAAGATACAAAGGGGGGGTTTTAGAAAGAAGATTTGATGGAGGAGCATATAGTTTAATTCGGCCCCAAAGCGATCAATGAACCGATGACGTCGACGAAAAAGGGAATCACGGGGGGAGCTTTTTTTTTTCAGAGAGACATCGTTCGGGAACCACGGTGCGGGGGAGGAGGACAAAAGATTCGGGACAGGACAATCGGCTTCGAGCCGTTCAGAGTTGACAGTGGGAAGAAGAGCGACAATTAATTCGGATTGCAATAAGAGCAGGTCTGCAGAAGTGAAGCAAAAATGGAGTGATGGGCTAAAGTGGTAGAAAATAGTCCTGAAGAAGGACTAAAGAGCATAATGGATGGATGGAGGGGAGTGGAGGGGACGGAAGAGGGGAGAAGAGGGGAGTTGAAAGGGTGGTTGAAGAAGCTGGGTTAGTTAATAGGAATAAGAATAATAATAATTAGTAGGTAGTTTTAGTTAGTAGTTTAGTCTACTTAAGTTGTGAGTCGGCGGAGCAGAAGGAGCAGAAGGAGCAGCAAGAGTAGCAACAGCTTCCCACAGTAGCTACTAGTTAAGCCTAGGACTCTAAGACTAGGACTGACTCTAGGGAGACTAGACACTGCAGTTAGTCTAACAGCAGTAGCAGTTGCAGCAGAGCAAGAGCAGCAGCAGCTGCTGCTGCTGCTGCAGCTTGGAGAGGCTAGTCCAACAAGCAGCAACATGAAAGCGGGGATCACCAACGTCAAATTCTTTGGTTGAGGCTCCACCGCCGCCGCAAATGGTCAGTGAGTCTGGGAGTGAGTCTGGGACCCGACGGAGAGTCTGGGACTTCTACTAGTCTAGGTCTCTTTCGTTCTGCTCTTTCTTTCAGGTTTCTCTCCGCCACTTAAGGTTCCACACTGTCGGTACAATCCCCTATCCAACCAACATATCCCCTCCCCTCCCTCCCCCCAATGGAGTACGTTCAAGCAAGCCATCCACCATCTTGTCGACTCCAAGCACTTTTGCCTAGAATAAGCAGGTGCGGAGTTGTGCTCATGTGGTGAAACATGTGGCCTATCTTTCTGGAACAATCGGGACTTCTTCTTATCCACTGCCGCTGCTGGCGGCAGCATAACACAATCAATAAATCGTAGTTACCGGCAAGCAATCATTGATGAAGCGGAGACCATTACCCGTTTCTCTCGCCACTTCTTTTCTGTTCTCTCCTCTATCTTTGGTGTCTTATCAAGTTGGCACCTATTATAATTTCCCACAATCGAGTAGATCCGACAATTCTTTCAAATTCAGGCTGCTGCAAGTAGATCTCAAGTCGTCTCGTTATCAACGGCCACCTGCATGTAGCGATCAACCAGAGCACGACCTCTTACCCGTAGAAGCAAAGCAACACCACTTGTTTGGCTTGTTTGTTTGCCGCTTTTGTCACGGCTTGGGGACCGCTTTTGCAGGCAGCTCATCCTGATGCCATTCGGTGTATGAGTATGAGCAGTGAGCATCAGAGCGCGGTTTACTCAGAAGTTACCAGAGGCTGCATGAAGTTCACAGAGCGTAGTTTGTTTGTTGCGGTGTTGCTGGATCATTGGATTATCACAATTCACCTATGTCCATCCCCACGAATTGTACTGAGTACCCCTCGTAGCCAAGTCACCTGCATTGCTGAACTAACATGCCACATGACAACCTTATCCCCTGCAGCGGGAATTATGCACCACCCTAGGCTGAGCAAGTTCTGGTACTCACTAAGCTCTGATTCAACCCAGCGTTGATGTAGACTTACTTGAATTCAGTTCACACGAAACACGTGTATGTTCATGTGTCAGCAATGGAGCATACTGTAGCATTTAACTAAGATTTCCCTTGCTGACGCGACTGAATGGGTCAGATGATGCCACATGCACATTGGTTCAGACACCAGTCCTAAGAAAATAGTACGCAGAGGACTGGCCCTTCCTGCTTGCTGCGATGGAAAACAACATCAAGTTGCAAGGCTCAAGTATGCTTTAACTTAACTTCGAGCTGCCTGTTCAGGTCTCCAATACAGAGCTGGGGGAGTGAATTTCACACGACGAATTGGCACTTTCACTCGTAGATAGAGAATCAATGGACCAACAGGGTCATGAAGATACATAAAAATTATATGACAAGTGAAGCTGAGTATTTAGCACTGAGTTTCAGCTATTACCTGTATCAATGCATAAGGGGGCTTGCCGCCCGCTCTCTCGAGGCGTGAGATCACTTCGCCCTCGTCAATGTTCAATAATGGCAAGCCACGATACCAGAGACAGGAAGACCTAAGCAATTGCGATAGCATCTGTGTCATCAATGGCAGCTCCGTCAAGGAACATCATTGATGTGCAGAGTGCGCGCTTTTTGGAGAGTAGATCCAAAAGAGATTCACTGGTGCTTGTTTCCAGACAAATGCTCAATTTCACCATGCATAGTAAGGAGTGGTCGAGAATAACTATCTGGAGACTCCGTCTCCGTGCCGTAGGCTGGAAGTCTGGACGTTTGACATGATGCGGCAAATCATGGATGTATACTCCGAGGTTTGACAATCCACCGCTTCTTCGTTATTCGTATTCGTAGGGTCGCGTCGTGGCACCTACCGGAGCGGGAAGTGTCCTTGCAGTGCTGGGCAAGGCAGTAGGTTTGAATATGTATCCAAAGAGCCTGGGCCTGTGGCTCTGATGTAGAGCTTTCATATCGGAAAAAAAGGCTGTGTGATCTTCAATATTATCACTCGGCCTTCGATTGAGGTTTGCCCATGATAAATCTGACATAGGCGGGCGGGTTGCCCTTCAAGTATGCAAGGCCGTCTTGAAGCAGTCCGTATGTCAGGCCTAATTTCAGACCAAGTTTGGCGGTACGGGCTGCAGTGAAGACATCATGACGGGCTAGACAGATAGGAATAGATTAGCTGGCAACCTCAAGAACGCCGAGGAGCTTCAGTAACGAACCTAAGAGGCTGTAGATGCCTGAGAATGACAAGCCTGCTACAACCGTCGACAGAAAATCCCGTTGGCCGTGTCGGGCATTGTCCACGATATCCTCAAAGACGGTGAAGACCATGGCACTGCCGCCTAACCTGGATCCCATTCTAAGTCCCTCTCGCATGCCTGCGACGGTAGCAACATATCTCCGAGTCTTATGGTATTGCCACCACGCCATTGAGGTCAAAGGCTGTCGATGAGCGTTCTCCGCGCGGAAACGATAGGCCGACGTGGTGTTGCCTTTGGAGAATCCGAGACACAAGCCTACGCCAAAGGCAGTAGCACCTGTAGCCATCATGCGCCTTCCAATACTTACTCCTAGTCTTTGATATGGATCAACACTAAGGAGCTCCTCCTTCATGGTAGCGTAGGACAAGGACTCGGGCGCGTCTGATGGTTGCTGGACATCCATGCTGAATGGTAGATAAAAGTGACCCGTTGGATTTAAACTGATTGCGAACCAAGTCAACGATAGATAGGGCCTGGCAAATGCTGTCGGCTCGGTGTGCAATTGGTTGTGAGAGAGTGTCACTTTCTCTGAACGTGAGTTTTGACGTGCGGTGGACGTGCCGGACTCGACTTTTGGCGGCTCGCCGAGCTCCGATCTCCAAAGGCTCCGCGGTCCCGCCAAAGCTCAGCCATCAACTTCAAAAGCACTAAATCGAACACCATGGTAGGTACCGCCTCGCGCTGATCATCAAACAAAGTCAAACTAATCTGATCAATTTATTTACAGCCTCAGCCCGATCCTCTCAGCTGGACTTTGCTGTTCAAAAAGCACAGAACGACCGTGCTTCTGATGCTTCCTGCATCCGAAACGGTCGCCGCAACCAAAAATGCATTGCTTCGGGCCCTTCAAGCTCGGGGCCTGAGAGATATAAATGGAGATGTCGTTCCAGTGGACGCTTCCGAAATTGAGCTTGGGGTTCCGGTAGACAAGAATGACTTGGAAAAAGGCTGGACGAAGCTTGAGGTTGACGTCGCCGACTTCGATGTTGCCGCCGCGCCCAAACGAGGAGCCGGGAAGAAGGCAGCTGGTTCGCTCACCTTACTAGCTGCCGATATCAAGAATGGACAATCCATCGCATTCAGGTTCCGGAAGCCTACGACTGACGATTCTGCGAAGAACGATGACTTGGCTGAGCTAGATCTGGAAGATCCAGGATGGGATGTTGTCCTCCCTAGCTTCGAAGAAGAAGAAGATGAAGTTCAGAACTGAGTGCTACCTTCAACCAAGAATAATGAAATGAATGACATCAAGCCCGTCTGTTGGCCGCAACTGAGATCCAGTATACCACACAGGTTGACAGAGGTTGCTACCCGGACAAGTGAGCCATGACCAGAATGAAATGTCGACAGTCTCATGATATTAGCTCTTATGCAATCTCTGGTCAACAGCAGTACGCTTTCGCTTGCATCTTCTCTCTGTAAGAGCGCGATACGATGAGCTATCTACACTCTTGAGTAACCCTGGCGCATGGCTCATATCGGTCTATAGCAGGCGGCTTTAATAAGCTTCCGTGAATATCACTTTAATAAGATCCTTAGTGCACAACCACATGCTTCTTTTCTACCTCATTCCCTGATTGTAGTACGCGTCACTTTATCCCATGTTGGTAGAGGAATTTTTCCACATATTGGCAAATACTTCCTACGACCTTGGGGCTATATGCCTGCCCGTCAGATGGCCCCTACATTTTGGCTGATGGGGCTATAAGATTCAAGACCTCGCTTTGCTCTGGAACTGCTATCATTATAGCGTAGATCCATAGTAAACTGTAGACGAGGAGTCCAACATAATAATCTCAACTGATCATGTAGATACCCGTCTCTAGCCGTTTGCATTGAAGGTGGAGAAGATGGATCAAAGGTGCGTGGTGATAGTCACAAGCTGGACGTGGTCTTTCAATGGCTGTCGGCTGGGATATGTGAGGCGGTGTGAAAGCACCGCAGGGGGCACGGCAAGCCTACTTTATCCACACGGCGCCCGGTTGCTAGGAGCAACAAGGCGGTGGAAAACACGTCAATGTCAACAGATTGGCCGAAGGTCGAACTAGTGCCAGCGTTGCTCAACAGGGGAGACTTTCTGGGGCCGTCTTGATTCATAGGTCCACAATCAACATTCCTCACTTCCACGTTTTGTGCACCTAATTTTTCCATCTCTTCGTTGTTCTTTATTCGTCTGCCTTGTTGACGGTACAGGGCGTCGCTCCCCTGGATAGCCGACCTCCGCGTTGAATTACCTAGAGGGACGTGACGCCTCTGCGGTGATAGTTGATTGCACTATTACAATATGACCGACGCTTCTTCCATCACTGTCGCGGTCCGGGTAAGGCCGTTCACAATTAGAGAAGCAGCACAGCTCTCAAAATGTGAAGACGGCCCATTGTTCCTTGGTGACGGGTCACTGGCGGCAGCGCCGACACCCAAGCTGAACCAGAAGGGTCTCCGATCTATCATCAAGGTCATTGACGATCGATGCCTGTGAGTAGCACAGCATGCGTGGCCAGTGTGCATGGCTTGACTGATCTCTGTTTCTCTTAGTGTTTTCGATCCCCCAGAAGACAACCCCGTCCAAAAGTTTTCGAAAAGCGTCGTACCAAACGGAAAACGCGTCAAGGACCAGACCTTCGCTTTCGATCGAATTTTCGACCAAAATGCCTCTCAAGGCGAGGTATATGAATCAACAACGCGGGGCCTTCTCGACAGCGTACTAGATGGGTACAATGCTACTGTGTTTGCTTATGGTGCTACGGGCTGTGGAAAGACTCATACAATCACTGGAACCGCCCAGCAACCGGGTATCATCTTCATGACAATGCAGGAGCTCTTTGAGCGTATCGATGAACGATCAGATGAAAAATCAACCGAGATTTCACTCTCCTATCTCGAAATCTACAACGAGACAATTCGTGATTTGCTGGTGCCTGGAGGTAGTAAAGGAGGTCTGATGCTTCGGGAGGATTCCAACCATTCGGTTTCGGTGGCTGGCTTGTCGAGCCATCATCCGCAAAATGTCCAGCAAGTGATGGACATGATCATGAGGGGCAACGAATGCCGCACCATGTCGCCTACGGAGGCCAACGCTACCTCTTCGCGCTCGCATGCGGTCCTTCAGATCAATATTGCACAAAAGGATCGGAATGCAGATGTGAACGAGCCCCATACAATGGCCACATTGAGCATCATTGATCTTGCAGGAAGCGAGCGTGCCAGCGCTACCAAGAACAGGGGAGAACGACTCTTCGAAGGTGCAAATATCAACAAATCCCTCCTTGCCCTCGGGAGCTGCATCAACGCACTTTGCGATCCCCGAAAGCGAAACCATATCCCTTATCGAAACTCGAAACTTACCCGGCTTCTGAAATTCGCGCTGGGCGGCAATTGCAAGACGGTTATGATCGTCTGCGTCAGCCCATCAAGCCAACATTTCGATGAGACCCAGAATACGTTACGCTATGCCAATAGAGCGAAGAACATCCAAACGAAAGTTACGCGAAATGTCTTCAATGTTAACCGCCACGTCAAGGACTTCCTGGTGAAGATCGATGAACAGATGGCGTTGATTAATGAATTGAAGG